AATAAATATTAGAAAAACTGTTAGAGGCATTTTACTAGAGAAAATATTTCTAAAATACAAATGCATAGTTGAAAGATTGTAGATGATACTGAGGACCTAATAAAAGAAAAATAAAGTTTCTTGAGAAATAGGACAAAGCAAAGATGTCATATTTGATACCTTAAATTAGATGGTAGTTAAAAGTAGTGTCAAATCCTGAAGTTAGGAAAAAGAAGGTGGCCCAACAACACTTAGGGTCTGAATGCTGAATGCAGCAAGACTTGGCCATGGTTAAATGCAGGAAGAGTGACTAAGCTGTGGTTGCCTAGGAATAGTTTATGGGGCTTTATTGAATAAAGGGAAAGTTCTAGTTTCAGGAATCGTTAAGACATTTCCGTATCTTCTCTGTCTTGATAATCACACACCAAACCAGAGGGACTTTTAACAGAAGCACACACTCTGTCCATGGTGAAATGAATCTACAGTCCTGTACCACAACATTTGAAAACAAAAAGTAGACCTAGGATTGGCCAGTGACTTCATAAAGTGGAGGATGACCACTGCTAAGTGTCTACATGGGGCCGGGGTGTACTAGTGGAATGTGAGACAGTTTACCCTGTGGAACCCCAGAAAGTCTCAGGAATTGGAGGTACCAGTGATTAGAGGAGACAGGGATGAGCCACTGAGTTTGAAATTCATATAAAATATAGTTAGACCAGTTCCTTATCACCACACCCACTCCCTCAGAAAACAGAAAGTAGATGCTCTGGACACTCTTGGGTTTTAGTGACCTCTTGGACATGGATGTGGAGTGGGTGGAGTGAGGGCAGAGAGATATGACCTTGTATCACACAAGATGAAAAGTTGCCTCTAGATAAAGAGAGGACTCTTGAAGAGCTTCACTTTGAGTGAAAGATTGAATTTGACAAAGAACACCCAACAAACCTACCAGTAACAAAAGAAAACAAGGAAATTTTTCTGTCTTGGCTTGGACCCTGGCAGAGGAAATGTTCTCTCCTACCTCCAATCCCTGCTGCAACCACCCTGCCGTTTTAGTGCCAAAGCAGCCACAGACTGTATGTAAATGAATTACAGTGGCTTGCTAGCTGGCTGTGTTCTAGTAACCTTTATTTATAAACCCTAAAATTTGAATTTCATATTTTTTGTATATCATGACATATTGTTTTGATTTTTTCCAACCATTTAAAAATACAGAAACTAATCTTTGCTGACTGGCCGTATAAAAAGAGGCAGCAGGCTGGATTTGACCTGTGGGCTGAAGTTTGTTGATCGTTAATCTAGACTTTAAGTAAATGTGTTAAAAATTTAAGGGTGAGGATTCAGTCTGTTTCTCTAATGCGAAAAAAGGCAAGAAAGGAAAGGGAAAAAAGAGTAGATAAAGTAGGACAAAGTTCAAAATAATATATCAGAAATAAATTAGTAATTGTATTAAATGTAAATGGAATAAATTGGCTAAAAGATTGCTAGAACAGATTTTTTTTGTTAGAATGGATTTTTTTTAAAATCCAAGTGTATGTTAATTAATTAATTTTTAAAAGATTATTTATTTGAGGGAGAACACATACGAGCATGCATGCAGGGGGAGGAGCAGGGGGAGAGAATCCTTAAGCAGACTCCCACTGAGCATGGAGCCTGACCCTGCAGATCTCACCGACCCATGAGATCACAACCTGAGCCAAAATCGAGCTGAAACTGACTGAGCCATCCAGGCACCCCCAAAGGTATGTTATTTTAAAAGAGACATACCCTTCCCCAAAAGAGACATACCCCAAACATAAGGGTACATTAAAATTCAAAATAAAAGAAAGGAAAATGTTATGCTGACACAATACTTTAAAAAGAAAAGCTGGTGTCTTTTTTTTTTTAAGATTTTATTTATTTCACAGAGAGATAGTGAGAGCGAGAACACAAGCAGGGGGAGTGGGAGAGGGAGAAGCAGGCTTCCCGCGGAGCAGGGAGCCCGATGCGGGGCTGGATCCCAGGACCCTGGGGTCATGACCGGAGCCGAAGGCAGACGCTTAATGACTGAGCCACCCAGGTGCCCCAAGCTGGTATCTTTCTGACAATGTATACTTTAAGTCAAACTTCATTGTTAAGAAGTAGTGAATTAAATGATGATAAAGGAAGCTTTTTATTAAACTGGGAAGATATAATAATTTTAAACTCGCGTGTACCTAAGTATGTACCTAAGAGCAATGATAAATCCACAGTTAAAAATAGCTATATAGCAAAATAATGTAGCAAAACTTGCAGAACTGCAAAGAGAAGTTGATAAATATACCATTGTACTAAAATATTTTAAGTATTTGAATAATTGAGAGAGCAGGAAGATAAAAATTTGCTAAGGATACAAAAGATTTGATTCCAATATTAGGCTTTTCTATTGGACATATAGAGAACCCTGTATCCAACAACTGATTTAGATAAAAATTCTTCTCAATTTTATTGGAAATTTTATTAAAATTGATCACGTACTAGGCTAAAAAGTAAGCCTCATTCATGTCAAAAATCAGTATAAGACAAATTAACTTAGGTAGCAAAAAAATCATAACAAAAATTTTTAAACAAGATTATAATGAAAATACATGCAAACAATACTTGTGGACTCTAGCTCATGTGGTACTCAGAAGCAACTGTAGAAAATCTTGAGTTATTAGGATAAAGGTCTGAAAACTAGTGAGTTAGATGACCAACTTTATATATCTGGAAAAGAAAAAAAGCATAAAAGAAAAAAAAGGAACATATCATTATAATTTTAGACAAATTCTTCCAGAAAGAAAGAATATACCCTAGCTCATTTTAAGAGGTCGGTATATTCAGACAAGTATATTATGAAAGTGGAAATTTATTGGCCATTTTCACTTATGAGTATGAATTTAAAAAAGTATTGGGGGAGGGTGCCTGGGTGGCACAGTCGGTTAAGTGTCTGACTCTTGGTTTCAGCTCAAGTTGTGATCTCAGAGTTGTGAGATTGAGCCCTGTGTTGGGCTCCACACTCAGCTCAGAGTCTGCTTTGGATTCTCTCTCCCTCTCCCTCTGCTCCTACCACTCTTGCTCTCTCTCTAAAATAAATAAATAAATCTTTTAAAAATATATTAGGAAACCAAATCCAACAATTAAAACCATAAAAACACTATAACCAAAATTGGATTTATTCTTGCATTGCAAGTAGGTTCAATTATCAGAAAGAAGGTAATTTTCAAATCTATAAATTAAATGCAATTCCAGTGAAAATCCCAAAAGTTTTTTGTTGCTAGAACTTGACCAGCTGACTTTAAAGTTTTGTAAAAGAGTGAGGAGCCAATAATAATAATAATAATAGTAATAATAATAATAAACAATTTTGAAAGAGAACAAGGAGGGGGGACTCCCTATTAGATGATAAGACTTACTCTGAAGTCTTATTTATATCTTAAAAAGTAACGGTGATCGGGCGCCTGGGTGGCTCAGTGGTTACGCATCTGCCCTCGGCTCAGGTCGTGATCCCAGTGTCCTGGGTTGAGCCCTGCACTGGGCTCCCTGCTCGGCAGGGAGCCTGCTTCTCCCTCTAAGCCTCCTCACTGCTGTGCTCTCTCCCTCTCATACTCTCTCTCACTCTCTCAAATAAATAAATAAATAAAATTTTTAAAAAAGTAACAGTGATTAAGACAATGTGCTTTAAGCACTTCATAGCATAACCTGGGAAGTCTTATGTACGTTGAAGATGTACATATTTTATGACTCATCAATCCACTCTTAGCAATGTCTTCAAAATTCTGAGGAAGTAAAAAAGGTAGAATAAATATATTTTCTAAAAAATCTTTAGAAATTTGCCTCCCCTGCATTTTTGCTTTAGCAAAATCAGGGAAGGAAACTAGAAGAGGAAGAAGTAGAATCCAGGAAATGGGTTCAACACAGGAGAGTTTAAGAAAATTCCTAATAATGCCACACAGAAGTCACCAAACACCTGAACAGAAGATCTGGAAAGGCAGCCGTTGCAGATCTGAGCAGATGTGTGGCAGAGTCCAAGGAGAAAAGCCAAGCTGATAGATTGATTCGTTTGACCACATGGATGTGTGTATTGAAGGGCATTTTATGGAGGTATTAAAGATTGTGAGAAGATTTAACCACAGAGAAGGGTCTGTATTTACAGCATCTTGGTGCCTGGCACACAGTTGGCATTCAGAAATATTTGTTAAATACGTGAAGCATGCCCTCAAAAGTAGCAGAAATGAAGTCGATTAAAAATGAGAAAGGAGGACCAGCTGGGACAATAAAGGGTGCCATGGAAAATAAGAGGGAGAAATAGGTGACGGGAAACAAGGAATATTTGTAAACAATTTGATACAACATCTCAGAACAACTCTGTTGGGTTTTGTTGATGGGGGATGTATAACATAAGTGAGGATCAAATAAGGTAGAGTTGTGGAGACCTTGAGTTCAGATGTTTTTAAGTTAGGGTTGTTGCCAACAACAGACAATTTAGACTACCTGCCCGTTTTTCGGTTCCAAACTGATAGCCACGGTTATAATCCAGTTGGGCTGTTGATTTATTCAGTTAATATTTAACAAGCTCCTCCTGTATCCCCAGAATGATGCCAGAAGCTGGGATCTTAATGGTCCGCATAATCCAATAATATCCCTGCCCTCCTTCTATTCAGAATGCTGAGAATATGGGGATATCCAGCCTGTCGCATTTTTTAAGCCTGGATTTACTCTTATGAAGCCCAAGATTTGGAAATTTACACTGACTCTAGAAATTGAAATTCATTGCTTTTCATTTCACCAGGAGTTCCTACCTATCATAATAAGCTTTATCGGATATGATTTTTGTTATTAGGAACTTATACTATCTTGATAATTCAACTTTGCTAATCATTCTTCTTGGCTGGTAATCTCTACCTGTAGCTGAATTTTGCACAAGGGACTTGACAAACACAGAACACACCTCATCGTAGGTCCTGCTCAGTAGGGTCAGGCATTGCTCTCTCTCACCTTCTTTTCTCGCGGTCCTTTTGCAGGGATTGTATTCGCACATTATGGTCCTGTCTGGAGACAACAGAGGAAGTTCTCACATTCAACTCTTCGTCATTTTGGCTTGGGAAAGCTGAGCTTGGAGCCCAAGATTATTGAAGAGTTTAAATATGTGAAAGAGGAAATGCAGAAGCATGGAGAAGACCCCTTCGACCCTTTCCCCATTATCAACAATGCCGTCTCTAACATCATTTGCTCCCTGTGCTTTGGCCAGCGCTTTGACTACACCAATAGTGAGTTTAAGAAAATGCTCCATCTGATGTCACGAGCCTTAGAAATCTGTCTGAACACCCAGCTCCTCCTGGTCAACATATGCTCCTGGCTTTATTATCTTCCCTTTGGACCATTTAAGGAATTTAGACAAATCGAAAAGGATATTACCACTTTCCTTAAAAAAATCATCAAAGACCATCGAGAGTCTCTGGATGTAGAGAACCCTCAGGACTTCATAGACATGTACCTTCTCCACGTGGAGGAGGAGAGAAAAAATAACAGCAATAGTAGCTTTAATGAAGATTACTTATTTTATATCATTGGTGATCTCTTCATTGCTGGAACTGATACCACAACTAACTCCTTGCTTTGGTGCCTTCTGTATATGTCACTGAATCCCGACGTACAAGGTAATTAACAGATGTTTCCTTCATTCAGGCAAAGCCAGATTATTTAAATCAGTATCAGCAACTTGGGCAATCCTGTGGCTCCTAGCACTAAGCAGTGTCTTCAGGCCAGAAAACAAAGTGGAAATACTTGAATCCCATAGGGAGTTGGGAAGGTGTTAACAGCGAAACTCCCAAGTTTCTAGACAGTGGGACTAATGTTCTACCTTCTTGCCCCTGCTTTAAATCTCTACAGGTCTGATTCTGTGTGAAAGGTATGCTAGAGGAAGACTTTTTAGAAAAGAAGGACAATTTAGAGCTAACGGGAGTTACAGTGATTATCTGAACCCAGTCATCTTGTTTTGAAAATGGAGAACAGAGACCTAGAGAAGTTATGTGACTTTCCCAAGATCACAGAGCTACTTCTACCATATCGATACCGATAGGTAGTGTCTGGCAGTTCACAGTGGAAGACCACAAAAGAGGACAGTGTATTGCTTTTCTATTGCTCCTATAACAAATCACTACAAACTTAGTGACTTAAATCAACACAAATTTGTTATCTTGAAGGTCCGTGTCTCACTGGACTAAAATCAAAATGTTGGCAGGGTGGCATTCCTTTCTGGAGGCTCTAGGGGAGGACCCATTTCCAGCTCCCTTGGCTCCTGGCCCCTTTCCTCCATCTTCAAAGCCAGGGATATTGCAGCTCTTCTCACCATTTTCTTTGACTCAAATCTCCCTCTGACACTAAGCTGGGAAAAGCTCTTCAGTTTGAAAACCCATGTAATTCGTGCACACGCAGAAAATCCAGGGTCCTCTCCCCATCTCATGGCCCTTAATCAAATCACACCTGCAGGGTCATTTTTGCCTCGTAAAGTAGCATATTCATAGGTTCTGGGGGGTTGGGGTGTGGACATCGCTGAGGGGATGTCTATTCTATTATAAATGAGATTATGCTTCTGTCTATTATAAATGAGATTATGCTTCCCACATTAGTTAACTATTGATGAGTACCAAATTATCCCCAAATTTCGCAGCTTAAAACAACCAGCATTTACTATCTCACAGAGTTTCTGGGGATCAGGAATCCAAGAGCAGCTTTGCCCAGTTGGTCTGGCTTAGGATTTCTTGGGAAGTTGTCGTCGAGATGTTGGCTGGAGCTTCCGCCATCTGCAGACCTGACTGAGACTGAAGGGTCCACTTCTAAGATGGCTTGTCCACTTGGCTGTTGGCTGCAGGCCTTACCATTTGGACTTTTCCATAAGGCCGCCTGACTTGGCAGCTGCCTTCCCTCAAGATGAGTGACCCAAGAGAGAGCGAGTACCCAGACAGGAGCCACAGTGTCTCTTATGACCCAAGCTCAGAACTGACACGCCATCACTTCTCCTTTATTCTGTTGGTCACACAGACCAACGTGGTACCTGGTGGGAGGGGACCGTACCAGGATGTGAACACCGAGAGGCAGGGATCCCTGGGGGCCATGCTGGGCTACCTCACGTTGTCTGACCGAGAGAGTCAGTCTCCTTTTCATATGAGAATGATTGAGAGGACTCCCTGATTCCAGAATGCTTTCTCTCTTACCCATCGATCTGTTCTGCTGGCCACTTTCCAAGTCACAAGGTGGTACCAGGTCCCTGGGACCAGCTGCCTCTACTTGGATATGTGGCCAATGCTTCACTTCTCCGAGGCTGAGTCAGGTCTGAACTGCCAGCTTAGCAGTTGTGGGTATGATGTGATGGCAAATATGCATAGGACGGCAGTCTCAATTCTCCTGCCTTATCTTCTGGTTTACTATTTGTTATTCTTTCCTTTTTTTTTTTTTTTTTTTTTTTTTTATAGAAAAGGTTCAGGAAGAAATTGAAAGGGTCATTGGTGCTGACAGAGTCCCTTCCCTCACTGACAAGGCCCAGATGCCCTACACGGAAGCCACCATCATGGAGGTCCAGAGGCTGACGGTGGTGGTGCCGCTTGCCATTCCTCACATGACCTCGGAGAAAACAGGCAAGTCTGGGATCTCTCTCCTTTGAGTGCCTTTGAGGGAAGTCTGGCCCTTAATCCAAAGGAGTTGAAGTGACAGTGTGCTGACAATTCTGAGGGTTTAACACCGTGTCGTGGATAATCAAGCATCCAGGGAACATTTCGGCCCTCGGTTGTCCATTACTCATTCACTGGCATTCCCGCCCGGCTTGTTTTCTAAATAGCTCTCTGGACTTCAGAGCATGCACACTTACACTGTCAAGCAAATTCTACCATTTAAGATGGCTATATTGGCAGGAAAAACGCCGGAATTAACAAAGGCACCTCTCTGTCTTCTTGGAAGGTCAGAAGAGCTCGTCTAAATATGAAATTAAGTATTTTAATTGGGAATTATCCTACTTCACCTTTTACAGTTCTACAGCTGAAGCACAAATATGAATTAGAAGAGCCCTTATGATTCCAAGGGCACCTGTTTCAACTTCCCACCTACACGGATGTGTGTCCATTGTGTCAAGTCTTTGACACATAAGCAACCAGACTCTATGTAAAATCCCTCATAAGAAGGAACTTACCTCCTCTGGAGACAGCCCATGATGTAACCGGCTTAAATATAGTTATAAGACAGTTGTAGGAAGTAATAACTTATAAATGACATTGGATCACTTCATGTTTTCTTCGGTCCAAGTTAGATGCACTGTGTGAGCTGTAACTTTTGGGCACTGTTTAAAGTGCATGTGAACTTGTCAGCTGCTGAGAGCCTATGTTGACTTCCCTGTACAATTGACCCTTGGACAACACAGGTGTGAACATCGTGGGTCCACTTATATGCAGACTTTTCTTAGTAAAAATATTGGAAAAATATTGGGGGATTTGTGACAATTTGAAAAAATTCACAGATGAACTGTGTAGCCTAGAAATACTGAAGAAATTAAGAAAACGGAATACCATGAATGTATAAAATACAGATGTAGATATAATTTGTTTTATCAATTACTACCATACAATACAGTTGACTCTTGAACAACATGAATTTGAACCATGTGGATCCTCCTATGTGCAAATTTTTTACACTACAGTATTGTAAATATATTTTCTCTTATGATTTTTTTTAATATCACAAAATTTGTAATTCTTTGGAAAGTTTACCTGGAATGTCCTATGATTTCTATTTCAGTGTTTTCTCTTAATTGTAATGTTTTTCTGGTTTGATTTAATTCATTAATTCAACATCTGTTAAAGCAAATCCTGTGCCTTATCTCAGGCTGGGTCCTGGGAGCACGTGGAGAGCATGCCAGTTGATTAGGTCTGGCCCCTACCCTCCAGCACCTCAATGTTCAGTCTCCACAAATTAAATAGCTAGGTATGTAACTAGATTTCTTTTTCAGATAGTGATGTTTAGGGAAAACTATTAGTAAGAACATGTTTAATGACACTGGGTTCTTTTGTTTGTTTGTTTTAGTGCTCCAAGGATATACTATTCCTAAAGGCACAGTGATATTACCCAACTTGTGGTCAGTACACAGAGACCCAGCCATTTGGGACAAACCAGATGATTTCTACCCTAATCGATTTCTGGATGATCAAGGACAACTTTTTAAAAAAGAAACATTTATTCCTTTTGGGATAGGTCAGTTAAACTTTTATTTTTTTAATGGCATAATTAAAGAGGTAGAGCTAAAAGAATCTTCTATTATTTCATGATATTGTTTTAAAAATATTTCTTTCTTGGGGAGCCTGGGTGGCTCAGTCGGTTAAGCATCCAACTCTTGATTCGGCTCAGGTCATGATCTCAGGATTGTGAGATTGAGCCCCACGTTGGGCTCTGAGCTCAGTGCTGAGTCTGCTTGAGATTCTTTCTCTCTCCCTCTCCCCCCCCCCGGCTCATGCTCTTTATCTCTCTAAAATAAATAAATAAAATCTTTAAAAATATTTCTTTCTTAGCAAGCAAATGTAAGAGAAGAGGTAAATAATCAAGATAATACAGCCCCGCTACATTCATTTCAGATTTTAAAAACAAAATTAAAGCATTGGTTTTAAATCCTTAAATATGACTAGGAATCTCCCTTTCTGAGCTGCCCAAGTGATTATTTGAGTCTCAGGAAACTGTTGGTGTTAAGAGCAACTTGCGATCTTTTGCTGGGCTGGTGGCTGAGAGGCTGGGTTCTCAAACCTCACCAGTCCCTCTTTTAGACAGCTGGAGGAGCACATGTAGGATTCTTTCTATAAAAAATGAATGCTCCAGAGATTCTCATTTGACTCATTTTCTCTTTGATCTTCCAGGTAAGAGCAAAGGAAAGAGATAAGTAGGTATGGAGGAGACAGAGTAGCTTGGATCTCTGTCTCTAGTTCCAGTCTAGAATAAGGATAGGTTTTCATGAGTAGGAGTTAAAATGTGAATTTAGTACGTATAAATTCTGATCAGCATATTCTTTGGGAAGCCATGAGGTATATATGTGGCCATTTTATTTTAAAACTCTCTAGAGGTGCCTGGGTGGCTCAGTCGTTAAGCATCTGCCTTTGGCTCAGGTCATGATCCCAGGGTCCTGGAATCGAGTCCCGCATCGGGCTCCCTGCTCAGTGGGGAGCCTGTTTCCCCCTCTGCCTGCCACTCTCCCTGCTTGTGCTCTCTCTCTAATAAATAAATAAAATCTTAAAAAAAAAACCAACCTCTCTATATCTGCATTTAAAACACTTAATTGAGATATTTCATATAAAGTTGCTCTGATCTCGAGATAGGAAGAGCGGCCGGAATTATAATCCCAACTTTTTCTTCTGATCTCATTTATTTAGGGAAGCGGGTGTGTATGGGAGAACAACTGGCCAAGATGGAATTATTTCTGATGTTCGTGAGCCTAATGCAGAGTTTCACATTTGCTTTACCCAAGAATTCTAAGAAGCCCATCCTGACTGGAAGATATGGTTTAACTGTAGCCCCACACCCATTTAATATAATCATTTCAAAGAGATAAAGAACACATCCAAGAAGAGAATGTAGGGGCGCCTGGGTGGCTCAGTCGTTAAGCGTCTGCCTTCGGCTCAGGTCATGATCCCGGGGTCCTGGGATCGAGCCCCGCATCGGGCTCCCTGCTCCGCGGGAGGCCTGCTTCTCCCTCTCCCACTCCCCCTGCTTGTGCTCCCTCTCTCGCTGTCTCTCTCTCTGTCAAATAAATAAATAAATTCTTAAAAAAAAAAAAAAAAAGAAGAGAATGTAAATACATTTCTTCCTCAACAGATTCTTCCTTCTGCAGTTGACGGCAGACGCAGCAACGCAGTGGCCCCAGGGTAGGCTCAGATGAGAGGGAGACCAGAACGTGGGTAGAGCTTGCATCATGGAAGACTCCTCAGCAGGACACTTCCCGTCACTTTAGTGACGCCCTTCTGTGACTTAGGGGATGGGGACCCGAGTGCCGGCTTGGGACGCAGGAGACCTGGATTTTATCCCCTGTGGCTTCCACCAGTGAACATTCCTTCTCATCACTCAGTGCCTCAGTCATTCCGTGTCAAATGAGTTTAAGAAAACGTGCCTTCTCTCCTCTCTCAGCACTAAGGAAGGTCAAATGCCGCATGTCTTTCCTGACATCACCAAAACACTGTTAAGTACTGAAGAAGCCGAAGGAAGACCCACCAGCTCAAGACCTATGACAGCACAAAAGTGGGGTTCCGACTTGAATACTTTGCCAAAGAAAGATGTGGGTTTCGGTCATGATGAGTTAGAGCTTTTCTCTGCATAGATCCTATGTTGGTCTTGGGAGGGGGGAGGCTTGTTCTGTAGCTGTTATCTTCTCGTTTGTGATTTAGTTTTTTGCATTTTGTAGACACAAACTCAAGTGCCCTTGTCAGGTATGGAGAGGAAAGGCTGTTTGGATGTGTCTGTCTGCCTTCTGTTTCAACTACAGCAACAGTGAGGCTTGGCTGAAGAAGTGGCTTCATGGCTTCACAGCTCGGAGTTCCTCTCTGCTGAGCTGCTTGCAGAGATCTAGCTCTGCCTTTCGACTTGAGCCCTGAACGGTGAGCTTGGGAATTCTGATACTGGGATTCCTCAGGGAAGGATTCAGACTGTGGTTCTCTCTCTTGCACCGGGCTCCGGGCTGCGGATGTCTCTCACCTTAGTACCTCTCAGAGACACAGAGGCATTCTTAATCTTGTTAAGAGACCTACATCGTTCCTTAATAAAGACGGTCCCTTCAAAAGAGCAGTTCTCAAAAAAGGCACTGACCCCTTTCAGGGGGTATTTAGAAATGTGTAAGTGCATCTTTGGTTATCACAATGATAAGGGAGCTATTGGCCTTTTGCTGCGTGCGGCCAGGAGGCTAAGTGAGCAGACCTGTACCCAGAGGAATAACCCTGCCTACTACTCTGCCAGTATTTCCCCCAATGAGGGCATGCTCCAAAGAATGACCAGCCTTCTCCTGGATTCTCCCATAGTGCTCCTGATAGACAAGTAACCACGATAATAAGATGCGCACCCACAGTTTTGAGCCTTCCCTCCTGCGGGCACCATACTTAGTGCTTGCCTTGTATGCCTACATCATTCTTACAGAAACTCTATTAAGAAGATGTTATTTTGTAGCTGCCAGAGCTGAGCGTCAGGGGAGTGAAGGTACTTAGTTAGAAGGTCCCATTCATTTCAGACCTACCAGTCCTTGTGACTGGAGTGTTCTCTCCTTACCACTGCCCTGTATTGCTGTCACCTGATCCCATGGGAGTCTACTCGGCGTTTTCAGTGCAGATGGATGAGGTACAGGCAGATCTCTAGGTGCCTTGAGGACTTTTGTCAACTAAAAAAAAAAAACAAAAACATAAAACCAAACCAAATAAACTAACTGCCCAGGAATTGTGAGCAAATGGAGTGGTGGTCTAGATTTGTGATGAGATGATGGTGTGTGGTTACACTGTACCTTGAGCAGGACAGTTTGTTCCTCATCTGGAATTTTATATGCTTTTGAATTGCCCTAATAATTTGGCATTAGCAAGTTTATTACTCCTTAATTTATACATACATTTTCAACATTCCTAACCAAGCAGTTTGTAGCTTACTTGAAAAAAACAAACAAACCTGTTCTGTGAGATTCTGTTGAAATCAGATGTTCATTAAACTCTTAAATATAATGCCTCAGACTGTAGCACTTTAAAAACATCTTTATATGGCAAGTCACTGAAAGGACTGTTAATGCCTTACTTGTATATGTTGGCATTTTATGATTTTGTACCTTATGATTTATTTGAAGTGTAAAAATAATAGTACTTTGTTTTATATATCTTCCTAATGCCTAATTTTTAATCCTCATCTTTAGCATAATTTTTGGTGCTTTTATTAAACTTTCAGTTTTAACTGAAATGGTATCATGTCTGTTTTTTTGTTTCTTGTTTTAACTGCTAAACAAAAAAATTTTTTAAACTACATGTCCAGTTAGGAAATGGAGGAGGGAGCAGACCTCCAAAGAGAGAGAGGGTCACAATGTAACAGAAACATGGCTTTAAACTGGAAGATAATTCTTATAAAATATCCCCTCAGAGCACAGTTACTCTCAGGACTGTCGCAGCTCAGGTTTCTGATTTCCCACGCCCCAATCCAGCGTTGCTTGAGGGAGGGATGAGTCTACATGAGCGCATTTTGGCGAAGTATTGAGTCTCTCTTACACTTCTCAGCTCTGGGAGAGGAGTTTGTTAAATACCTCAACCTGTGGATTTTGCCGGCAGATGAGCCCCCTGCCGGCTTTTTCCTTGTTGTACTCTTCCTCCTGCTTTCTCATAGCCCAGAGGTCACCTCCTATCTAACGTGGCCTTTCTGGAGAACTCCCTGCTATGGACTAAATGTTTGTGTCCCCCCCTAAATTCTCATATTCAAACCTAATCCCGATGTGATGGTGTTTGGAGTGGGACCTCGAGGAGGTGACTAGGTCATTGATGGTGGAGCCCTCATGAAGGGATTAGTGTCCTTACGAAAGAGGCTTCTGAGAGCTCCCTTGCCCCTCCCCCATCTGAGGAGCAACATGAAGACCGCCGACCGTGAGCCAGGAAGTAGGCTCTCAGCAGATCCCGAATCTGCCCTGATTTTGGACTTCCAGCCTCCAGAATGGTAAGAAATACATTTCTGTTACTTATAGGACAGCCAGTCTGGTATTTTTGTTCTAGCAGCCCACGCACTTCCTAATCTCATCACCCAGTTCCTCCAAGCCCTCCTCACTATTTATGGTTACTCCGTTTATTTAAACCCTCAGCTCCTACAATCTGCTCCACCTCCTGCCAGTTTAAAAAACTTGATGCACAAGTTTTTAATTTTGATGAAGTCCAATGTGTCTGTTTTTTCTTTTGTTGCCCATACCTTGGTGTCCTATCAAGAAATAGTTGTCATATCCAATGTCACAAAACTTTCCCCGTTTTCTTCTAAGAATGTTACAGTTTCAGCTTTTTTGTTTAGGTCTTTGATCCATTTTGAGCCGATTTTTGTATGTGGTGTAAGGTAAAGTCTAACTTCATTCTTCTGCATATTTACGGTTTCCCCAGCACTATTTGTTGAAGAGACTATCTTTTCCCTGTTGAATGATCTTGGTACTGTTGTCGAAAATTATTTGACCATATAGATGAGCTTTTTATTTCTGGGTCAATACTTTTAAAATAATGAATTATACTAGGGGCACCTGGGTGGCTCAGTTGGTTAAGGGCCTAACTTCAGCTCAGGTCATGATCTTGGGGTCCTGGGATTGAGCACCAAAGGGGGGCTCCATGCTCAGCAGGCAGCCTGCTTCTCCCTCTGCCTCTGCCCATCCCCCTGCTTGTGCTCTCTCTCTGTCAAAAAAATAAAATCTTAAAAAACTAAAATAATGAATTACTAAACAGTTTTATACTAACATCAGAATATTCAGATGAATCAGCGAAACAGAATAGAGATAATAAACCCATATCCTCTAGTATGAAAGTGGCATCACACCATGAAGGAACAGGAAATAATATCATTAAAAAAAGTGCTAGGGCAACTGGTTAATTATTTAGAAAATTAAAATAACACATTTTCTGGCACCTGGGTGGCTCAGTCATTAAGCGTCTGCCTTCGGCTCAGGTCATGATCCCAGGGTCCTGGGATGGAGCCCCACATCGGGCTCCCTGCTCATCAGGGAGCCTGCTTCTCTCTCTGCCTGCTGCTCCCCTTGCTTGTGCTCACTCCCCGCCCCCTCAAATAAATAAATAAATTCTTTTTTAAAAATGAGAATAGCTCAAAGGAGGATGATTACATAAAAATTAAAAAAAATAACACATTTTCTCTCTTTTCATATACCCAAATCTAAGAGGTCTAAAAAATAGAAATAACATTGTATGTATGTATATTCTATATATGTAAGTATCTATTTATGAAACATTTGCTATGGGAATGGGAGCTACTTTTCTAAGCATCAAAAATACATTCAATCACAAATATAAAGCAGAATAGATTTGATGACATAAAAACAGAAAACTCCCGTGTTCTAAAATGACAGTTGGCAAATCACAAAAAACAATTATATCAGTCTTGACAAAAATTTAATATTCCTAATATATAGAGTGCTTATAATTCGGTGAGTGGAATACCCAGTTTTAAAAATAGGGAGGGGCTTCCTGGCTGGGTTGGTGGGTAGAACATGGGATCTTGATCTCAGGGTCGGGAGTTCAAGCCCCACATTGGTCACGGAGGCTACTAAAAAAAATAAATAAAAATAGGTGAAAGACACACAAAATTTTATAAATACAAATGGCCAATATATGAAAGAATGTTTAAATTCATTGAAAGTGCAACTAAAACATTAAGATACCATTTTTTACCCATCAAATTTTAAAGATACATCTTAAAAGGAAAATACCAAATATTGATAAGAGAGAAGCATTCATATACTGCTGTTGGCAATTAGACTGAAGCTATATTTCTGGAGAAAATTTAATATGTATAAAAGTCTTTAAAGTATTTGTTCCTGAATGCAGAGTAGTATCTTACATTGGATTCTGGAAAAGAATACCACATTAACGGATAAACCTGAGAATCCCA